CTCCGCCACCGCCACCCCCCACCCCCGCCCAATCTTCTTTTCAAGGCCAAGACCGAAGGTTTTCTGGTCAAAGGTGGCTTCACCCTGCAGGTGTCTTCTGTAATTTAGAGTGTGAGAGTAGAGCCCACAGCTGGGGATCTTTGTGCAGTGAAGAACCTGGACAGCCACACGTGACAGCCCTTCTTAGAGTTCCCCTGGGCAGCCCATTCCCTCGGAGCAGGCCCTCTGTCTCTGCTCACACACTCCTGGTGGTGGTAGCTCCTTCTCCCCAAAGACAGCCACAAGCCTGCAGCAGCCCCACCTATTAGAGGCTCCCTCCCACATCCCAACCTACGATGGACTCCTGACCCACCATCCCAGGCTGCTTCTGGCCCCTGCCTGTCTGCTGTGTTCCAAAACAGCCCTGCTGGGGTCTGAGGCCACTTGCCCCTTACAAACCCTCAGGGCCAGTGCCCCCTCATGTGGACCCTCCAGTCCTGCGACTATGCTGGGCTCCTGGTTCTCGGCCCACACAGCTCCTGGCTAGCCAGCCTCAGGGTCTGCTGGGGAATGGCTGGAGCCCACTATGCATGTCTGCTTTTCCCTGCAGGTGTGTACCCTGGCTCCATCACCCCCCACAACGGGCTGGTGCCCGCAATCCTGTCCCCCACGCAGGAGGCCCCTTCCAGACACCACCCCCTGGATGCCAGTGCCAGCAGCCACCACCATCTGTCTCCTCTGCCCATGGCAGAGGGCACCAGGGACGGGTATGTACACCAAGTCAGTCCTCCCGGACAGGTGGGCACTCGGGTTAAGGTCATGAGACTGCAGCTACCCTGGGGCCTTGTGGTGTGCTAGCTGCCACGGTGAGCATGGCACCCCTGCCGACTCCGTGAGGTGGCGGGTGTTGGTGCCCAGGCTTCCTGATGCCTCATCTCATGCTCATCCCCCCACCCAGGGCAGGCCAGTCTGGAGAGGGACCTGGTGGGCTCCTTTGGAAAGGCTGCAACCTCCCTGGACCTGTGGAGTGGCTCTGTGTAGCACATGGGGGCCAGCCTGGGGGGAAGCCCCTCGATGGATGGCCGCTAACAAGGACCACAGTCAGGCCCTGGCTGTGCAGGGAGTGGAGGGTCCTCAGGGACGAGCCCCTGTGGGGAGAGGCAGACTGTAGCTATGGTGATGGGCCAAGAGGGAACCCAGAAAGCCGGCTCAGCTTCCTCCTCTGTCATACAGGGAGCGAGACTGGGAGGCTGTGCTGCACATACCTTACGTTTGGTTGTGTGTGCCACCTGGTCCAGGTGCTACTGGCTTAACCCTGCCCACCCCCACCCACCCCAGGAGCTCGCTCCGGCCACCAGCTCACCCACCAGCCAGCCCCCAACAACATCTCCCAACCAAAGAAAAGCAACCCTCCCTACCTTTTCCCCCTGGGGCCCCTGCCTGTTCACCAACCAGCATAGCACCCATGGTGACAAGACAGGGGACCAGCGTGGCCGCTGCCCCTGCCTACAGGAACCCACCAGGCCCAGGGGAGTAGGCCCTCACACCAGACACCAGCCCTGGGCCAGCTTAAATGGGTTTCTTTTTTCATCCCCTGAGAAGAGGGGGTCAAGGGGGGGGGGGCGGTCTTCAGCCTCTCCCTTCCAGCCAAAGTCAACAGGGAACAGTCCTTGTGGCCCCCGTGGTTTGCTGGGACGTTTAAACAGTTTGACAGAATTATCAGATTCACTCGGAAATATGCTAAGAGGCCCTGACTTCATGACCAAATGTATTTACCCTGGCTCGGAGCAGGCAGTCTGCCCCTGGCCTGCCAGGCCTGTGAGGTTTCACATGAATTTTTATAGGTTCTAACTGAAGCTGGGCTTAGGACTCAGAAGAGGGGCCTAGGTGCTTCTCTCCTCCTCCTCCTCCTCTCCTCGGCACCCCCTCTTCCTTTTCCCCTAGTGCCCCTCCCCTCCCCAGGTTCAGGTAGAGCTGTCGGCCTCCCACCACCCCCATCCGCCCAGCAGCCTGAGTGGGGCTTGGAGGAGAGCCGGGCTCTGTTCAATCCCACTGACTGTGAAGGTGGCACATGTAGGTTTCTGGCAGGTTGGAGGCAGGAAAACAAGCTTGGAGCCTGCAAGGCTGCCCCCTTCGGCTCTGGCTCTCCGTGGTCCTGCTGTGCTGGTGTGCTCTGCATGTTGTGACTAGATCATTCCGAAACCCAGTGATTGGTGCTCTTTGGCTGTTTGCCACGTGGCAGGCACCAGGTGGCCTCGGGACCAGCCCTTCCTGAGAGTATCCAGGTGGAGGGGACCGGCCAGGGACAGGGGGCTGTGAGTGGCCGCATGGGGTGGGACGAGGCAGGCACCATACAGCAGGCCTGGGAGAAGGCCAGCCCACGCCCCGCCCTCTGGTGTGCAGGGTACTGGCCTTCCAATGGCGGTATTAGTCATGGTGACAGCGACGAGAGCTAGCTCAAGAGCTTGGGGAGTCTGGCATGCGTGCCCATCCAGTGTCTGTGCTAGCCGAGGGACCCAGATCTCCCCTCGCCCTCCGTGAGCTCCCAGTGGCTGGTGGGGGTCCCAGACATGGAAGGTGGCAGTGCAGGGGAGGGGGGAAGCAGGAGGCCCAGGATAGGGGGACGGGACAGCAGACTCAGAGCCCGCCAACATCTCCCCAGATCTCCTTCTGCCTGCATTCGATGGCCCGGCATCATGCAGCAAGAGCACTGACCTGGCCTGCTCAGACCATGGCTCTCCGAGGGCCATGGGGGAAATGACCTAACTGGGCAAGGGCAGCTGGAGGCGAAGCACTGCGTTGGTGATCTAGAACCCAACTCTCTGACTGGTGGGGGCCCTGTAGGACGAGGTAGACAGGTCTGTAACTTGATGGGATCAGCTGGTGGTTTGCAGCCCTAATGCATAAGCCACGGTGCCAACAAGCCCAAGCAAGGAAGTGGAGACTCAGTGGGCGGGCTCTCCCTGCATCTCTGTCTCTCTCGCTCCCGGCCACACAAAAATGTTTTGTGGGCTGTGAGCCTTCAGACCCCAAGGGCCATCGCCCCTGACTGCGTTCAGGAAGCTTAAGCTTATAGACAGGCAGCGTAGGAAGCAGCATGAGGAAGGGAAAGGGCTGACTGCAGACCTGGCCTACAGTCCGCTGAGCCCCCTTGGGCTCAGCCAGGGGGTGGGTGACCACATAGCCCTGGTTTCAGTGCACGAGCTTCCAGAGAGCTCCAGATTAGTCCTGCATCCCTTCAAGCTTTGCATGAAGGAAAGGGGTGAGCGCCCCATCTTGAGAGGTAGACAAGTGGAGAAGAGATGGCAGGGATGGAGACAAGAGCCGGTTCCTGACGGCATACTGCGCACGGGGAAAGAAGCCCAATAGCCTGGGCGGTTTCCTCGCGGCCCTCTCAGTGAGGATGGTGATGGAGCCTTGCGGAGGCTGAGACTGCGGCCGACATTATACTGTGAGCTGTCTCCGTCGATTGTGTTCTTGCACCCGCAAAATAGCCCTGGAGGGGGTGCTGTGTGGCCAAGAGTGACGGGCAATGACGCTGAACCTTGTGTTTCTGGTCTGCTAGGAGGAGCTGAGAAGACTGTCTGGGGGGCCTGAGTGGTAGCTGTTAGTGCCCTGGGGTCTCCTCCTTCTGGGGAGCTGCCTGGCTCTTCCCCCAAGCCAGAGCTGCATGCTCAGAGCAAGTGTCCCGGACATCCCCGGGGAGGGGGCAAGGCTGTTGGCACTCAGCGCCTGTCGTGGGGGCTGGGCAATGGTAGGATTCTCATCTTCCATACAGGAGATGCCGGTTTGGTTCCAGGCAGTGGTTCCCCCTCCCCCCCATCTCTCCGTGGAGGCCGCTGTGTGGTTTGATGCTGGACTGGTTTCAGCAGAGCTCCCCGACTCAGATGGGCTAGGAGGGAAGGCCTGGTGACTGTACTCGGCAGTGATCCAATCCACCTCCAGCCCTGAGGATGGCTCAGGACAGGCCCTGCCCTTCATTGCCCATGGGGTCATCATGATGCCCACTGGGCAGCTGCTGATAGCAGTGGGCACCTCAGGGGACCGGGGGTGGGGAGGTCTAAGGGGGAAGAAGCAGCGGAGCTAAGCCTCCGGCCCCCAGCACCCCAGCCCTCCCTGCTGCCACGCCCGTCTCTGCTCTCCAGGTTGGGGCCTGGCCTGCTCTCGCCCCTGGTTAGCCCGCTGAAGGGGCTTGGGCCACCCCTGCCACCAGCCTCCCAGGGCCGCCCTCCAGGCCAAGCCTTCTCCACACTGTCCAGCAAGCCTCCCTACCCGCTTTTCCAGAGCCCGCCTCCCGCGCCTCTGCCCAGCCCACAAGGTAAGCTCTCCCTGGGGCAACCCCCTCCCCCCTGGGGCTTGGGGGGTGGCTGGGGGAAGGTGGTGTTCAGAGAAGGATGGTGCCTGGCCCCAGGCCGCAGACTGTGGGTTGACATGCCCTGGTGGTTAGCACTGAAGGCTGGGGCAGGGCTCCGTCAGCAGGGCGTCAGAGGGCTCGTGGGGTAGCACCCATAATGGGGTGAGACAGGGGCCTGCTTGGGGGAAAGATCATTGCTGGGCACAGGAGAGGGTGGTGTGGGTATCCCCCAGGCACATCAGACACCCTCCACCCCCGCCCACCCTGGCCCTCTGCTGGGCTGTCGGGGGAGACCAAGGGACACATGGCTGAGCTGGGGCCAAGGCCCGGCTCCCAGGTCTTCAGCTTCTCCCTCACCACCCCACGATACAGGGCAGGACTCTGGGGAACCCCACCCCTGGCATGGACCCTTGCTTGATGCAGTCTCTACCCCCCCCCCACCCCCTTTGCAGGCTACCAGGGCAGTTTCCACTCCCTCCAGAGTGGCTTCCTCTATGGCGACTGCTACCGGCCAGTGGAGGCAGTCGCCAGTGGGGACGGGCTGACTGGGGAGGCCCACAATTTCAACCCACTGCGGTCCAATGGCTACCATGGCCTCGGCACACCTTTACCTGCCACAGGTAAGCCCCTGCCTGCCTGCCTGCCTCCCTTCCCTGAGATCCTACAAGGCCCAGCTTCTGCCAGCTGCTCGGTGTGCAAGGCCTGGAAGCCTTGTGAGGGCACTCCCAGCCGGCCGGTGGGGCATCCCCACCTGCAGAAGCACACGCACACTCCGGGCAGCACTGAGGACAGGACGGCACTGCCCTGGGAGTTTCCACTTTTCCATGTGTGCGAAGTTTTCCCTCAGGCTTCCTGTGTCTGCTGGGGCGGGGAGGGGCACGTAAGGTGGGGTGATAACCCCCTCCCCTGGGCCCCCCTCAGCTCGCCCCCATCCCAGCACATGCCTGCCTCCTCAGCTTCCCGGGGGGCCCCAAAAGTGCCAAGCCTAGGGGTCTTGTCTCCTAAGCCCCCTTCCTTCCACACCCACCCCTACTACCTGGAAGGGTGGGCCAGTCCCACTGAGGGCTCCGTGGAGAGACCTCCTGGCTAGCAGGGTGGACGTGAAGCTGGAAGAAGACCCCTGGGCCTAGCCCCAACCCTCTCCCACTACCCACAGGCTATGAGGCCCTGGCCGAGGCCCCGTGCCCCACAGCCCTGCCACCCCAGCCGCCGGAAGACGTGGTGTCCAGCGGCGCTGAGGACTGCAGCTTCTTCCCCAACGGGGCTTTTGACCACTGCCTGAGTCACATCCCCTCCATCTACACGGACACCTGAACGGGCACCCCACCTCCATCTACAGACTGCTTCTCCGCTGCCGGTCCCCCGCAGCCGCCCAGCGCCGCCTGGCCACAGGCCTCCCCACCCATGAGCAGGGGCCTCAGGCGGCGGCCGGTCATCAGGATCCGCGACCCCAGTGGCATTTCCTCCGCGTGCCTTTGTCTCCCCGGGCCTGAGACCACAGACCTCGTGCGTGTAAAGTGTACAGAACTTGCCTCCCGTCCCCTGCCAGTTTCATGTTTTTGGTTTTACAAGAAAAACATTAAAAACTGGAAATGAGACCGGGGTACTGGCTCTGCCGTGTGATTCAGCCCAGTGGGAGTGAGGGGGTGCGGGGGCTGGGGTGCCGGGTCTTATCAGAGGGCCCTCAGAGCCAGCACCAGGTCATAGTTCAGCTCGGCCAGGCCAGTGTGGCCCCAGGGGCAGGTGATTTGCCTCAGGTCGCCCCTAAAATAAAGACCAAGCCCCCCACCCTCTGCCCCAACTTGACAGGTGGGAGGTGAGCTGCAGGGCTGACCCTAGCCAGGTCTGGGCCAGATGATGGAGACCTATGTGTGCTCTGTGGGGTTTTCAAATCCCCAACTTTGCAGTAGGACGCCTGACCTTTCTTCTGAGGTATTTCTAGGTCAGTTTACAACACCTACCTTCTGGTGAACAGTTGAACGGCTAACAGGACTCAGCCCAGGTCCCACAGGGTCAGAGCTGGGGGCCCAGACCCCTCTCTCAGACCTCTGCTCGCAGGGCTGACACCACTCTCTGAAGCTCCCCAAACTCACTGCCACCGAGTCGATGCCGACTCATGCTAGGCCTGCCCTCCTGTCCTGGGTCGACTTGAGCCACAGCCCTTGGGGCAGCAACTGAATGGCACAAGGTGTTTGTAGCACATACGAAACTCCCAAACCAAACTCACTGCCATCGAGTTGGCGCTGACTCCTGGGTCTTGACTCTGAGGCGGTAGAACTGCCCCTCTGAGCCTCAGAGACTAACTTGCTATGGGAGTAGAAAGCCTCAACTTTCTCCCTCCGAGTGGCTGGTGTTTTCGAAGTGCTGACCTTGCAGTGAGCAGCCCAACGCACAACCACGGTGCCACCAGTGGTGGGAAACAAGCCACCAGGCTGACCCAGCCGGCCTGGCTCTGGGTGGATGGGGAGCGTGGTGAGTGCAGACAGGCCTCCTGACGAGGAGGGCCCTACATTTTGGCTGGGGGGTGGGTGGCACCCTGGGTGGCCAAGGATGGGGAGAAGCCAGATCCCAGGGCACTGAATCTCCTATCCCACCTGTCTCTCCCTCCAGCCGCCAGCACAGGCAAAAGCCCCATCAGCTCTGCATCCGGGGTCCTGCGAGTCCCATGTTCCCCTGAAGGCACCCCAGTAAAAAGGCCCTCCCCCTCCACTGCTGAAGGGAGACCAGGTGAGGGAGGATGCGAGGCGGAGCCTACTTTACACCCCTCTCCTGTCCCCCATGCCTGGTCTGGTCCTGCTGGAGCTGCCCCAGGGAGAGGTCCTACAGCCGCCCCTTTCTGCGTGGAGGGCACAGAGCCCTCTGTAGCGCGCGCCTGCCGGCCACAGCCTTAGAAAGGTCTAGGAGCCCCTGCTCTCTAAAGAAGGAGACGGGGTTCAGAGAGGCCACCCAGCCAAGTGGCGGAAGAGCGAGGGTTTGATACTTACTGCATCCGTACCCTCCGGTCCCCTGCAGGTCCACCTCCCTCACCACCTGCCCCTGCCCCCGTGCCCCAGGATGGCCCCTGCAGCCGGAAGCCAGGGGCTCCCTTCCCTCAGCTCCAGCCAGGAAATGGGGGGAGAGGGCCTCACAGGTGGGGCACACCCCTCCACCAAAGCTTCGGCCAAGCGTCCACGCCAGGTCCCTGGAGCGGCCCGCAACCTGCCTCAGGACCGCGGTAAGGCCTGAGCCGCTGCCCGACTTCTCTGAAACCAGGGTGTCGGCCTCATGGCCTGAGAGCCCTCTGTCAGTGGGCCCTTCATGCTGGGGAGCCCTCGCCAGAGTGGAGCTGAGCCCACAGGGCCTTTCCCCGCAGCTTCCTCAACAGGCCTCTGTTCCCCCCAGGTGTCCCTGTGACCTTGAACCGCCAGGTAGCCCTTGGCACCACCCAGGGACTCCCAGTTCCTGCGCTAAATGCCCCTTCGGGTCGGTCCCATCTCCGGCCGAACAGCAGCACCCTGGTCCTGGGCTACGGTTCTCAACCTGTGGGTCGCAACCCTTTGGGGGTAGAATGACACTTTCGCAGGGGTCACCCGATTCATAACAGTATCAAAATGACAGTGATGAAGTAGCAATGAAAATCATTTTGTGGTTGGGGGGCCCCACAACATGAGGGACGGTATTAAAGGACCGCGGCATGAGGAAAGTTGAGAACCACTGGCCTTGGGGAGGCCACAGCTGCTTCCTGCAGAGGGCTGGTGGTTGGAACCACTGACGTTTCGGCCAGCAGCCGAGCACTTAACCCCTGCACCTTCAGGGCTCCTAGGCCCTCCCCAGTTGCCCCAGTTTGAGAGGAGCAGCTGCTTTCTGTCGCCCCCGCCTGGTACAATTACTGCCCGTCACGGATGCCGAGACTAAGGGACACTGACCTGAAGTCACCTGGCCGGAGGCACAGCCAGTGAGTGTGGAGCTCAGCTCGGGGCTCCACATCCCGTGATCCCTGCCCACTGCCCTTTCCGACCCCTGCAGTCTTGGGGGGGGGGCACTTGCCTGGTCTCCCAGAGCCCACCCAGTCTGAGACCCAAGTGAGGTGTGAGTGACAATATCCCACAGCACATGGGAGTCTGGGATGAGGACCCTGAGCTCCTGACTCCCACCCAGGGTCCCCTCGCCCCCTCCCATCCCCCATTGCTTTTTATGGAAATAATTAGTTCGTGGTGAAATTCCTTCAACTGGGACGCTCAAGAATCAATACTGCGTGTCATTGTACGCGCTTAATCCATTCCAGATAAGCAGAGCCAGCGCGGGGCCGCACAGTGAGGACATGCTTCTATTAATAATGAGAAGGCTGGGAACACACAGGGCGCTGCCAGGTGGGCCCATTTAACTCCAGAGTCAGGGCGAGGGGGGCAGAGACAAAGAGACAGTGAGAGCCCACGCCGGCGCCCAGCCCGAACACAGTAGGGCTCCACAGGGCTTTCAACTCCACGTGGGGGGCTCTGCATATCCAGGCCCCCTCGGAGCAGGCCCCGATCCTCCTCTTAGCGCACTCGGTTGGGGGGGGGGGATACTCCCACGGACACCCCCAGCCTCTTTAGTCTCCACATCAAGAGGTGCCCAGGGGTGACCCTCCCTCCCTCCCACCCACCCAGGGGCTGCACAGAGCAGGGCGGGCAACACCCCTTGTTAAGAAATCAAGAACCGAAGGCCCGTGCTGAGCTCTGACCTGTGTGCCTGGCGGGCACGGACACCCCATCACTGTCGTGACAGGCCATTGTGCCCATGCCCCCAGTTGTCACACAGGGAGGGCTAGACAGTTGGAGGGTTTCTCACCGGGCCTGCAGAACCCCACAGATAGGGCCACACGTAGGCGAGGATCTCTGCAGGGTCTGCAGGACAAACTAATCCAGTTGTCCCCAGGTACCCACGAGAGGGGTCCAGGATGCAAGGCCAGTGCCCATGCCTACCAGGTAGTCACACTGCCCATCATCCATCACTCACAGCCCAGCCTCACCTGGTCCAGACTGCGGTCCCCTGGGGGGCTACCTGCATGCGTCACGGTGTCCTGTCCTCCACCTCCCTCCGCCCCTCACTGCCTTCCTCCTTCCCTCAGCCCTGCCCTCTCTGCCTGCCTCTCTGCCATGGCCTTTTTGTCCCTCCTTGCCCCCCTGCCAGCCCTCCCCTCCTCGCCTTTATCTGTTCTCTCCATCCGATGGAGGTGAAAACCTCCAAGGAAGCACATCTGTCCTCCTCCCTGGGCCCCCTCCCTCCTTCAGCCCCTCTGGGGCCCATGAGGACGAGCTCACTCATGGCACTGGGGGCTGGGCCAGGCAGGGCAGGAGGGGGCATCACAGAGGAGACCTGGGTGGGGAGGTTTGGGGGCCTCTGGCAGAAAGTCAGGTGTCCTGGCCCTCATAACCAGGCCCACATTTCACTCAGTGCTGGGCACAGGGCGGAATCACCTCCCGGGACGCTGACCCCACTCTGTTCCCGATGGCCCATGGTGGGGAGAGGCCACCCTCTCTCACAGACGAGGAGACCAGGCCCAGAGAGGGTCTGTCTCTGAGACCACACACCCCACCACTCAGCCTCAGCTGGACTGGGAGGATGACCGGGGAGAAGGGGCGTCTCCGGCTGTCGGCTGCAGGTGCCTCACGGAGGGGTGGGAGGGTTGAGGTAAGAAGCCTACGAGCTGCCCTGCTCACTGCTGACTGCCCAGCCCCTAGAGCAGCTCCTGGCACACAGTAGGTGCTCAATAAACTGGGACCACTGGGTGATTGAATGGCTTGGGAGAAACAAACAAGGAACAGGAGTCAATGCCCGCACAGCGCTGGGCAGTAAGCATTTGTGAACTCTGTCATTCTGTCCAGCCCCTCGCTTTCCAAATAAGGACATGTGCCCCAGGGGCAGCTGGGACATGTCCTAAGTTAAACAGTCGGTCAGTACGGGGAAGGGGAGCTGGAGAACCCAGACTTGCGCCGGACCCCTCCAGCCTCTCAATCTGCCCCCTACGGCTGAGGGGCGTTGGCAACAAGTCACTGTGACCCCATTTTACAGAGGAAAGAACTGAGGCTCAGGGAAGCAACGCGACTAGCTGAAGCCACTCTCTTGTGAAAACTGATTTTCAATATAAATGACCCCTTCCATGTAAGAAAAGCACAACACTGGCCCTCCATCAAAATAGCGTTAACGAACTCTGGGTTGCCGAATCTTCTGCATGAGCCACACAGTTCAGACAGGCAGGCAGGCAGAGCTGGAGTGGGCAGAGGGCAAGAGTGGCCACAGAGAGGGCTGACCCCAGCCTGGCCTCTCCCTGCTGGGCTGGCCAGGGCAGACGTTCTTCGGGAATGATTAGCAAAATGGCAGCTCAGCCTGGGGGCTGCTAGGAAACTGCCTCTCAGAACCCTTGGTGGGATCCAATCCAGGGGAGGCTGGATTCACACGCAGGCCACCGGCATTAAGCCTGCCCCTCCACTTCCCAACACCGGTCCCCAAGTCTTGGGTCCTGGAGCCTGGACGCCGAGGATCCTGGCTCAGGCCCTTTTGCTTGTCCGGAGGGGCCCATAACGTTTTACAAGGCCTCATTTATAAACTAGCCTGGGCCCTCGGCCCGGCCA